AGGTGCTCCCTTCTCCGCTTGGCCCCGCTCCGCCCCGGCCCCGCCCTGCGGCGTCCTCCAGCGACTGTGCGTTTTGCACGGCTCGCGCCCGCGCTAATTGGTCCCCGTCCCGGCGGCGTGAAGTGCATGCAGGTGCTTCCTGGGCGGTGCCGCTGAGGCAATTTCCTCCCTCGCCGTTTTCGAATGCGTGCAATCTACTCTGGAATTTTTCCTGTCTTCCGCTCAGACGTAGTAGCGTGTACATGTAGTCAGACGTTCTTCTGAGCTTCTTTCTCTATGTCAGATGGAACATATGATATTAAAGTTTGATTTGGGGAATTATTTTAATTGACTTTTTTATCTCTTTTTTTATTCTTGTTGCCTGAAAATCAAGTTAAGTTACGTACAATTATGAATTTTATTAATATCACTTTAATAAATTTGAAACAACTTTTAATAGGGTAAATATTTCGTTTAGAATAGTAGAGAACGTGATTTTTAATTTAATATTTTTGTATATTTGGAACAGTACGGTTTCATAATCAAAGAACGGTTTTGGAGAAATTCAATCAGAAAACAATTTTGTATTCAGGAAACGTAGTCACAAGAGAATCAATAACAGTGGCAGTTGACTTTATGAAGTGAATGTAATTCAATCCCGACGTCGTGGCCAATGGTCAATGGCTCTGGTAGCACCCCTCGTTTAATACATGTTCATATGCATGTTTTTTCTAAGGTAATTATTGAACGTGAAATTCTCTGTGCAATGGCATTGCAAGTGTTGATAATAGTAGCTATTGATACCGAACACAAAATAATTAAATGATTATAATTAAGTTTTGGAGTTAATGTACACTCCCGGATTTCCCTTTTTCTCCCCTTTTCTCTCGTTTCTCCCCTTTTCTCTCGTTTCTCCCCTTTTCTCTCGTTTCTCCCCTTTTCTCTCTTTTCTCCCCTTTTCTCTCTTTTTCTCTCCCTTTTCTCTCTTTTCTCCCTTTCCTCTCTCTTTTCTCCCTTTCCTCTCTCTTTTCTCCCTTTCCTCTCTCTCTTTTCTCCCTTTCCTCTCTCTCTTTTCTCCCTTTCCTCTCTCTCTTTTCTTCCTTTTCTCTCTCTCTCTTCTTCCTTTTCTCTCTCTCTTTTCTTCCTTTTCTCTCTCTCTCTTCTTCCTTTTCTCTTTCTCTTTTCTTCCTTTTCTCTCTCTCTTTTCTCCCTTTTCTCTCTCTCTTTTCTCCCTTTTCTCTCTCTCTTTTCTCCCTTTTTTCTCTCTCTCTTTTCTCCCTTTTTTCTCTCTCTCTTTTCTCCCTTTTTCTCTCTTTTTCTCCCCTTTTCGCCATTTTCTCCTTTTCTCCCCTTCCTTTTCTCCCTTTTTCTTTTTTCCTTTTTTCTTTTTCTTCCTTTTTCTTTTTCTCCCTCTGTCTCTTTCTTTTTTTCCCTTTCTCTTTTGCTTTTTTCTCTTCCTTTCTCTTTTGCTTTTTTTCTTTCCATCTCTTCTTTTTCTCTCGCGTTCGATCTCTGTTCGTGTCTCTCACTCCATTCTCTTCCACGTTCTCTCTCCACCCTTACCCTTTTTGCTCCTTGCCTAATCCATTGTCTCACAAGTATTGCCAATAAATCTCGTTCTTTTACTTCAGTTTCTTCTTCCCCCCGAAGACTGGTCCTCTTATCCTGTGCATGCCGCCTGCGAGGCGCAGCCGCAAGCCCTTTCCATAAACGCCAACTCGTACACCGGCACCCACAGCGGCGGCTGCGCCGGGAGGCGCGGCGACTGCTTGCCGCCTCCCGAAACACTGCAAGATTACCGAGTTTTTCATCGGTTCGCAGAGGCCGGTGCAACCGCGACGGGGCGTGGGAGAGAGGGAGGGAAAGGTCGATGGCTGCACCTGCGTGCGTGCGTTTCCGCGCGCGCGGGGCTCGCGAGGGCGCGATGGCGGAGGAGAGCGGACGCGCGCGGGGCTGAGGAACGTTCGCAAGCTGTAGGTGCGGCGGTGCGCGGCCGGCGGTCGGCAGCGCCGCTGTATAAGCGCGGCGTGCGTCCGCCCACGCCGCTATTCCCGCGGCCGTGCGCCCGCCACGCAGCCGCTCCAGCTGCCCCCTCCCCCTCCCGCCACCACCCACCCCACCCCACCCACCACACCCCGCCAAACCCCACTCCCTTCCGCTGCGCGGCGACATTGCTGACGCCGCGCCCTGTCTTCCCCTCCCTTCCGCCCGCCTTTTTCTCTAATATCATCTCTGACCATGCTTGAATTGCGTCTCGGCCCCTTAAGGCCTCTCTACTACTAGATTTTGTTTATTCATATTTTTGTGTGTACTTGAACTCAGAAGTTCTTCGCGCTCTTTTTGCACGCATTAAGTCTTCGCGTTTCCACATTTTCGCATAGCGACCGCGTATTCAGCCCTATTCACCTTACTAGGGTATCCCACGCGCTTTGCCTTTCAAAATATACTCCCACCCTGCTTCCTAAAATATTCCCCCCCTTCTCATCTCATTTTAATTACGGCAATCGTTTTTCAGCACCTCCGCCTGCCCCGTGCTCCGCCCCCGCTCTGCCGGTGCGTGTGCCGCGTGCGCGCGCCTCGCGCCCCGCCCTCGCGGCTTTTTGAAAAAACCCCCCCTCGCCCTGCTGCGGCGCGCGGCGGCCGGGGGCGGGCCGCCAGGCGGCCGAGGCCCCGCTCAGCCACAGAGCTGATTAGCCAGGAATGTACGTCGTGGAGGCACATCCCCGCTTTCCTTAAGCGCGAACAAGTTGCACGGAAGTACACAAGAGGAACAAGAGTCAACGTATTTGATAGAAAGCGGATCGAGATTGACTCCGGAAAATGCGTGAAAAAGTATGCAAATGGCATGTAATTGTAGTGAGAAGTAATTAATTTAAAATGACAGATCATAGAGATTTTATGAATTATAATTAATTCTTTAGAGGCTAAAAAATCGTCTCTTTATCGTCATTTTTTTTTTGTTCTTCAAAAAACCAAGAGTGGAAACAACAATTAATAATGAGACTTGATGTACTGTTGCAACGGGCGTAAGTCTTTCGTCTGGCATCGCACATTACGCAAAATGGGCCGTCAAAAGAAGAAAATGAGTCAGTTATTTGTCTTGCCATTCCGTTGCGAAATTGCAGCTGCATTCATTTCTTTCCTATTATATTTAAAACTTTTTCTGGCACCGCCACAGTTCGTTAGGTTAGTAACTTTAGGTCGAAGAATTTGGTGTTGACGTGATGCAAATAAGTTTCCTCGGCGATTTGATTTCTCTTGAATTGAGTAGTTTCGTAGTTGTTAAATTATCACGAAGAGATGCTGTTGTTTGAGTGGCTGATTGACAGTTTAAGTCAAAATATAAAACACAATTTTTCAGAAAAAAACATGTTTACGTTTTGTAGGGTTAAATAACTTACTAGCACTATTAGTATATAAAGAAACGATGATGGAATTAAAGATATTAATATACAAGTAGGAAGTATAATAAAACACGAGCGAATGCCATAAACTTCTTGTGTGTGAGTTAATGCCCATTACATGGAAATCCTTACAATACTTTTGTCTGCGACCATTCAAAACTAAGAGAAATATAAACCTTCTGCCTTTTCTAGAACGTACTTCTGGCGAGGTTAATTTCTTTTGACATAATGACTATTCCAGTGGACGAGAATAATTCTCCATTAACTGTAATATGACTACTTCGTTAGTGAATATATTAATAAACTTCCATAAATCTGCTATATAAACAGTTAAGATGCAAAATATTATTATACTTTTTACTACAAGTTCTTGACAAAACTACTTAATATCATTGTCTCTTGGAATGATTTCATGTAATTAAATGAATTCAGTAGGTTTCGTTTCTATTATATAATGGCTATTTAGGTATTCCAAGATACAGATAATAAAGTAACACATTTCAGAAAAAGAAAAAAGAGCATTGGTTAATATATAAAATACTAATAATACTACTAATTTGTTTAACCCTGGAAAACGTATACAAATTTTCACCAAAAATATTAGTTAATCATATAAACCATTATTAAAAACAAGTATTATTAGCCTACTATTTTAAATACATGTCTTGATTTGATGTTTGTGATAAAAAAATGCTGGAGCTATTTCCAATCGTTTTCCTTGTTTGTTTTTACTATTTTGTAGCATTGAATGGGTTATTTTCTCATTTACTTTTGCTCGTGAAGTTTCACTGAAAATACGTGGTGTTTATTCAGACAACAATGCAATGTACACAAAGTAAATTTCTTTGACTAATGAAAGAAAAACAGGTGCGCGAAGCATGAATAACTCTGATGATTTTGATGTTTTTTTGCTCATACACACCTGCTTTTGGCTTAAGATTCAGTGAATTATTTCTTTCTTTGCTCTTTCAGCACATAGTGAAATAATCATTATAAAATGAGCTGCAGCCTTCTAATAGATTATTCTATGGGAGCTGGAGTTTATTTTCATAAATGACTTCAAATTCTTATACCATTTTTTTGCAATTTTAGTTTACTACCCAAATTATTATTATTTATTATTATTATTAACTTGATTGGCCACATTGGACCACTTGAGTCGTTCCACTTCACTTTGGTCGACTGTCGAAGGTTTTCACCTTGAGGTGAGGATAAATCCTCGAGTTACAATTCTGAATGTAATTCAGAAAGGTGATAATGAGAGATGGAGGATGATGATGGGGGGTGAAAGGACGAACACAAGACAACCATGCCCGATGCGGGACTCGAACCCGCGATCTTTCGGTACGAGATCGCTACGGCTCTACTGCCTTAGCGATCTCGGCCACCGGATCGGCACTACCCGAATTAATGATTAACAATCAAACTTTTAACCACCCGAATGAAGTATGGTCGATGAGTATGAATCCTATTTTACCCAAACGAAACTCCGCATTTTTCTGTAATCGATGTTCGATCTAAACTGAACGCACACGCAATCCTCCGCCATGCGAGTGCGGGAGGTCTGCCGGCCGGGAGCTGCGTTGTGTCGACCGTGTGTGCCAAAGGCCAGTGAAAATGCGTGTGCTGTTTAGAAACAGCGCGGGCACCGCCGGGCCAACGTCAACAGAGGCGTCGTTGCAACAGGTGACATAACGGCGTCGCGCGCTTCCAAGACGGCGGAGACACCCCACCCCCACCCCGGCGCATTGCGTCAACCGCTCCTTTTTGCAGCTGACGCGAGCGCGCAACCGCTGCCGGAACGTTTGGGACCGCGCGGGAAATGAATTGCTACGCGACAATTGCCGAAAGGCTCCGAGGAGGTAAATGCGTTTGGTACGTACGTTTTAATAGACGTATGTTTCACACTTACTAGAATCGAACGAACTGACATAATCTTAAATTTTACAAAAACATCTGAAGTTGTCGCTGAAGGGGGAATAGACAAGTAATGAATTTCTATTCATTCCTTATCGTGCACGGATCAACATGAATTATTTAATGTCTTTTTTTTAAGTGTATTATGACTGTCTTTCTTTTGGCACATAATAATGATTATGCTTTTTAAACTGGTGGATTTTCACCTGATTATGTGATTCAAATAACCTCGAAACATTCTCGAAAACTATTAATATGTTATGAATAAATAATTGTTATTTTATCACATAATATTGGTTTATTTTTTCATTGCGGAAACTGAACATTGTATGTATTGAATCTGTCTTCATGCGATAAATAGTAACCTCCTTTCAGACGCCTGAATTACACATTTGTCATTGTGAGGTTGCATTTACATTCAATTTAAATCTATAACTTATGCGGTATTCTTCGCACCCATTGTAAGTTTATTTTTAAATATTAAAAATCGTAATCCGAATTGAACAGAAATACTTCTTTGATCTTCACCTCCTGCTAGTAGTGAATTCACCTCCCAGCTACAGGAATTCGAAAGTTTTCTGAAAGAATAAACTCAGTACAGAATCTGAAATCACTTTCAAAACTTAGTGT